CCAACTTACCCACGTAACCAGCCGTATGTCGGGAGAATTCTGTTTATACTTTGCGTGCAGGTACCAGACACCTAGGCAGCCCGTAAGACAATGGGCTGATGCAGTTTTGTAGCTGGACTGATGCCAAGATTAGGCCCAGCCTATACATAACAAGCAGGGATGGGGGAGTAGCTAAGTAGCGTGCTACTTTTTGTGGTTAGCTACAAATTTTTGTAGTTAATAGCTGTAGCCGCTACAGTTTTATGAAATGTAGCTAATAGCTGTAGCACTTACAAATTTTTCTGTAGCTATAGCGAAAATTTTCTTACTATAGTAATCTTAGCTCAGGGGACGGCAACCGAAATGTTAAGAAGAGCCATTTTGTCCTTGCAACAAAAATGAAACCACCTTGGGAGCCACAACATTTTATGTCCGTTTTACCATATTGGCTGTAAGTATATCTCAGTGTGTGCTGATGTACTAGTACAGGCTAAAAAATATACAAGAAAACGCAGACTTGCTTTGCTCTGCTTTAACGTTTAGCTCAGCTGTAGCCACTTTTCTCACATCTCAGGAAACTTCTCTGCGAGTTTCTTGTAAAATGTCTCTCAATGTTCGACTTTTCAGCTGGTGAATGAGAAGCGACTGCAGCTTCGTGTGTTGTTGCAGATTAAACGTATCAGGAAACCAGCTGAGTGCTTATAACTGCAAATAAATCCATTAATCTCCAAATTATCAATGTTTGTCTTAAATCTCTCTGCATTGCTGTGTGTCCAGCAGTCTGCGCGTCAGTCTTCAGCGTTAAAGATTGGTGACAACCTCCAGCGTACCATTTATTGTGAAAACTGTTAGAACTGTGTGTTAGAACAATTTTACAGAAAAGGAGGATTATGTTATTTTACCTAAAAATATAGTTCTGCTGTGGAGCCACAACAGCTCTGCAGCAGTGGAGAGATTATTCAGGCCTGATTCAAACAGAAACAGGGTCTCTGATGAGAATTTTGAGGCTAAAGTGTTGCTGAAGTTTAATAGAGACTCTGAATTTCATGTCTGTACATACACCAATCAGGCATCACATTATGATGTGTTTCTATGCTCATTGTCCATTTTATCAGCTCCACTTACTGTATAGGTGCACTTCTACAATTACAGACTGTAGTCCATCTGTTTCTCTGCATACTTTGTTAGCCCCCTTTTACCCTGTTCTTCAGTGGTCAGGACCCCCATTGACCCTCACAGAGCAGGTACTATTTGGGTGGTGTATCATTCTTAGCACTGCAGTAACACTGAGGTGGTTGTGTGTGTTAGTGTGTGTTGCGTTGGTCTGAGTGAATCAGACACAGCAGTGCTGCTGAAGTTTTAAACACTGTGTCCACTCACCGTACACTCTATCAGAGACTCCTACCTTGTCAGTCCACCTTGTAGATGTAAAGCCAGAGACGATAGCTCATCTGCTGCTGTACAGTATGAGCTAATCATCCTCTAGTCCTTCATCAGTGGTCACAGGACACTGTCCACAGGACGCTGTTGGCTGGATATTTTTGGTTGTTGGATATTCTCAATCCAGCTGTGACATTGAAGTGTTTAAAAACTCCAGCAGCACTGCTGTGTCTGATCCACTCGTACCAGCACAACACACACTAACACACCACCACCACGTCAGTGTTAGTGCAGTGCTGAGAATGATCCACCACCCAAAATAGTACCTGCTCTGTGAGGGCCCATGGGGGTACTGACCGCTGAAGAACAGGGTGAAAGGGGTCTAACAAAGTATGCAGAGAAACAGATGGACTACAGTCTGTAACTGTAGAACTACAAAGTGCACCTATACAGTAAGTGGAGCTGATAAAATGGACAATGAGCATAGAAACAAGGAGGTTCTCATAATGCTATGCCTGATCAGTGTATCTTGCTGAAATGTTTACATTGGAGCAGTTTTATTACAACAGTTGACAATGCTTTGCACAAAATTCTCTGGTTTGTACATGGTTATTTTTGTTGATTTTTTGGGAAAAACCTGGAATGATTGACCTTGCCTTTAGTCTAAAGTTTTGTTGGATATAGTGCGTTTGGTTGTGCAAGTTTGATTGTTGGTTACACTTAAACTTACTTTTTGGTTGTTTTTTTGTATATTTACAGCTTTTCGATTGTATGTTTCCTTCTGGTACATGATTAAATGCAGTGTCTTGTTCACACTATCAGTTGGGCTTGTTTAGTGTGTCAGGTGGAGATTCACAAACATTCTGACAATCGCGCTTTGACAGTAGCTAAAAAGTAGCGCACTACTTTTTCTGGAAAAGTAGCTAAATTGTAGCTAGCTACAAATTTTGGGAAAGTAGCTACAAAGTAGCTAACTACTAATTTTTCAGTAGCTATCCCAACCCTGATGACAAGTGACAGGTGTGACAGACATGGCCATGTATGGATAAACAGAAATAAGTAGTACAGACACACAAAAAACGGAATACAATGACATATAACACAACACTAAACACATTGCACAGCAACCAATTCCGTCACAACGAATACTTAATATCTCCAAATATGCTGAAGTGCAAACTTTTCATGGGGTGTACTTATTTCTTCACAGGACTGTATATTTTTGTCAAAAGAATAGATTTAGAAGAATACAAGTTTGGTACAAGTGCTTGGTGCACTCTAGCCATTGCATGTATTTTTTTGAACTCCAAATACCAGCAAACCTGGTTTAATTAAACTAGGAGTCGGAAGGTAACTGCAATGGTTATGCTTACACCCTCACAGACATAACATCACAATGTATTGTTTGTTTGTATTAATTCTAATGTTTTAGTTTTTTAATGAATAAATGCTTAGTGCCCATATAAATGGCTTTATATAGTATTTTCTTATAAGACATTTGTACAGTACAGTGCACATTTATATACAGGGTGATTCAAAAAGATTCATCGTTAGTTTCAAAACTATTTATTTTACTTGTAAATCATTACAGAATAATGCAGTAAATGGTTTAAGTGAGCATGAAGTTTATTATGTAATTTTACAAGTGCTCAATATGACCTCCTCCAGCTGTACAGACAACATCAACACGATAGTCCAATTCATCCCATACTCGATTGAGCATGTCGGGTGTCTCTGTACTCACGGCTCTTTCAATGCGATTTTGTAGATCATCCAGTGTTGTGGAACCAACGACGAATGCTCTGAGCTGTTGCACTGCCGACGAAAATCATGTCCGATGAAAATAAGATAGAAGTAGAAGATTCTCCTCTGCAAAATCTTCTACTTGTATGTTAGATCCGATTCCCACAGGTTTACTCAAAGAAATTTTGCCAGAAATAACCATCTAATTTAACACTTTAAATTAACACAAAACTTAATTGTTTCACAGTTATGTCAGGTTCATCTGTAAAAAATCTTGGTGTTACTATAGATCTCGATCTTTCCTTCGATGCACATATAATGAATATTACTAGAATAGCCTTCCTGCATCTCTGCAATATTGCTTAATTAAGAAATACATTGTCTCTACAGGATGCAGAAAAGCTAGTTCATGCATTTATTACCTCAAGGCTAGATTAATGTAATGCACTGCTGTCTGGTTGTTCCAGCAAAAGCCTTAACAAGCTTCAGTTAGTCCAGAACGCTGCAGCTAGAGTCCTCACAAGAACCAGAAAGTTTGGCCATATCAGCCCAGTTTTATCAAACCTACACTGGTTGCCAGTTAAATTTTACTGACATATTAAGCTCTAAACAGACTCACCCCTCAATACCTGAGTGAACTTCTCTCATACTATGAACGATCACGCCTACTTAGATCGCAAGGTGCTGGCTTACTATTTGTACCTAGAATTAATAAAGTTAGATCAGGGGGGAGAGCCTTCTCATACAATTCCCCCCAGCTTTGGAATAATCTTCCAGTCAATGTTCGGGACTCTGACACAGCCTCAGTCTTTAAGTCTAGGCTAAAAACTTACTTGTTTAGTCAAGCCTTTGGTAATTAGTTTTCCCTGTTAGATAAAAGGTGCAGATCTGGGGGTTCATGGACATGGAGTATTATGTTAAACTGGGAGTGTTGGTGCTGTCGTACCTCTGTTCTCACGTGTTCACTCAAGTTTGCTGACAGTGGAGCGGAGGGGCGCTGACATCTCAGGGAGCCCTCATATATAATATCTAGACCTGCCAGAGTCTGTGCTGCACTCTGTTAATACTGTAATCTGCGATCAGTCACTCTTTACAGAGCTAACTCTCTGTTCGTTTTCCCTTTCTTTGCCGAGCTAAACAACTCCCCATCCTTTGATGTCTGATGCTGTTGCTTCTTCTGCCTTGATCGGGTGCCCACTGCTTGCCAGACTTCTGGACCGTTTCAGCCTTCTGGACTGTTCTGACCACCATTGAGCTTCACGCTGTACAACACTGTGCAAACCTCACCTTCATGAACTGACCCTCCTGCTGCTGCTGCTGCTGCTGCATAAACTCAAACTATCTAATTAACCATTGCTCCGCCTGTTTTTCACCGTTTTGTATTCTAATATTTTAGACTAATGCTGTTTGCTATCCGGTGTCGACCAGAGGAGGGTTCCCCTTTTGAATTTTGGTTCCTCTCAAGGTTTCTTCCTCTTGCTCTTAGGGAGTTTTTCCTTGCCAATGTTGCCTCTGGTTTGCTCATGGGAGCTTGGACCCAGATTTTTCTGTAAAGCTACTTTGTGACAACACCTGTTGTAAAAAAGCGCTATATAAATAAACTTTGAGTTGACTTGATGTTGCACAGTTATGACGGATTCACTCTTATTGAAGGGGAGAACATGAAATGCTTTCTACTCAGGGGTCCCCATCACCTTGCAGACTAAAGGGAGCCATCTTCTGGTGACAGTCTGAAACTCTGTGACCCCCTCTTTCAATTGGTGTGTGATCTCATGGTTGTAAAAATATGGCGCTTTGAAGTCGGCTGAATCTTTTTGAATCACCCTGTATTATGTGTATATACCATTTTTGGATTTATTATTTTTTTTTACACACCAGATACAGACACACACACTTACTTGTTGCAGCAGCTGCTTTAGTTCCATCCTCATTTACTTCTATCTTGGCCTTCTGCAGAGCCTTGGATACATAAACAGGTTCTGAACCTGTGAAACACAGTGTGAGAATATAATCAATACTATGCATTGTAACATAAAGTAAGAAATAAAAACAGAAACAAATTAACTTTACATTCATCCACAGTACTCAGTTCTACAGAGGTGAAACAGAACAATAAATAGTTTGTGGTGTTTGTGTGCTCAAATAGCACACAAAAATGTATTTTTTCCAAGTTGTTTTAGCTATTACACTTGCACATGTTTCTACCTGAGGATGCCTTTTTCTCAAATGACACCTAATTGGTGCCCTATACTCTGCAGTCCTCCTCTGACATTATCAGTGTAAAGACATAAAGGCTTTGAGGGCTCTAGGTTTAAAAGGATGAATAATGGAGCTAAGGACAAGTTAAATTAATAAATAAATGCACCCATCTTAATATCTTCTCCGCCACGTTTGACAGACAGTTATAAACAAAACCATCCACCATGATTGGAAGTCACCTGTATCTCAAAGAATTTTGGGAAGAGGCAGCTGCAGAGGAGAGAGTATAGTATAATCGAAATAAGGGCCAGGAAAAATTTCAGAAAAACAAAGAATGATAGTGGTTCAGCAATGGTTAAGAGCTGCACACACCACAGAAAACTGTTGATTCCGGCTTTCAATTTAACACCAGTCACTCAACTTTGCACTCATCATCATTCTTTATTTAAGCTTGGGTTTACATTGGGGCTCTTTTACAGTGTAGCCAAGAGCCACAGGAAGAATAAAAAAAAAAAACACATAAATTAAGATTGTTAAAATAAAGATTCCAAAGTAAAGGTAAAATAATAAACAAAAATGTTTAAAAATATTAAAGAAATACACAACAGTAAAAATATTTTATATTATATTAATAGGAATCAATAAAACAATTATAGGAAACAATAAATTTTGAGTAAAAAATATATAAAAATAATAATAGTGTGTAAAATAGAAAAAAAAGAAAATAAATAAATAAATAAAATATTCAACTAAAACAGTTACAAACAGAACTAAAACTAGAAAGTAAAATTTTAAAAACACTAGGAGAAACGAGCAAGTCAAGCGTTAGAGTACTTTGTACCTTGTTCCAGCTCACTGGTGCACCATAGCCCCAGCTCAGTAAAAACTCGGGGAACCTCAAGTAAAATAAAATCATCTGAGCGGGTTTTGTAACATGTTTCCTTTACAGTGAGCATGGAGGTAATATACTATGGCACCTGTGTCCAGTGTGTTTCCCTTCTTACATATAGAGAGGACCATCCCACTCTCTCATATAACATGCAGTCCTGTATGGATCTCCAGTAATGAATCTCAGAGCAGAGTGATAAAGAGGGTCCAGAGCTTTCAGAGTGCTCGCTGAGGCATTTCTGTACAGCACATCACCGTTATCAAGAACAGACAGGAAAGTGGCAGCCTCCACAATGGTTTTCCTGCTGTGCATAGGGAAACAAGATTTATGTCTGTAAAAGAATCTGAGTTTTGTAAGATTACTGATGTGAGTTTTAAAATCAATTTTCTCATCAAGCCAGATGCCAAAGTACTTATACTCATTTACTCTTTCAGTAATGGATCCATGTAAAGTTAAAACATTTCAAATGTTATTTTCAATATGAGCAGGTCTGGAAAACAGCATAAACTTAGTTTTGTTTGCATTCATCGCTAATTTGTGGCTTTGGAGTGCGACTTGTAGGGAGTCAAAGGAGCACTGCAGCTTTTCAATGGCTACCCTTGCTAAATTTTCAGTACAGTATAAAATTGTGTCATCAGCATACAGATGTACTTTACATTCTTTCACTGTGGAAACAATATCATTGATATAAGTTGAAAATAACACTGGGCCTAAAACTGAACCCTGAGGAACCCCTTTACTGACTGGAAGAAGACCAGAATCACAACTTCCCAGGGCATCACGCTGTCGTCTACCAGAAAGGTAGTTCTGAAACCATTTAATAGCATTTGGTCAAAGCCGATGCTGTGTAATCTTTCTAGCAGCAGTGGATGATCAACAGTATCAAAAGCTTTGGATAAGTCAACAAAGAGAGCAGCACATTGCATCTTTCTGGCACAAGCAGTAATAAGATCATCTAAAACCAGTGTACCAGCTGTAATGGTGTTATGTTTTTTCCTGAAACCAGACTGCTGTATGCTCAAAATAGAGGTTACCTGGAGAAATGACTGTAGTTGATCATTAATTAGTAGTTCTAATATTTTTGAAATGCATGACAGCTTTGAGATTGGCCTATAACTGTTTAGATTAGATACATCTCTACCTTTATGCAATGGGGTTACATTGGCTATTTTCCTGATACTGGGGACTATGCCTGATAAAATCGAGAGATTAAAAATATGCTCTGAAATGATTGGGGTAGCAAGTTTTAAGGGATCTAGTTTATTCTCGTCCGTTGATCTTCTAGGATTGATGGTTAAAAGTGCTTTTGTGACCACACTGAAGGAAAAGGGGTGCAGGGTAGAACAGGTATGATGGCTTACAGCATCTTTGCACAAATAAATGACCACCAGCAGCAAAGTGTTTGTTAAAAGTTGCACACATCTCTTCTTGGTCAGTTATCAGACAATCATCCAGCATACTCGGAGGTGGGACAGAAAATAAGGGCTTATTTTTTACAGAGTTAAGAGCCTTCCAAAATTTGTCTGGGTTTGAATGAGAGCTAGAAATCAGATTCAAATAGTAGTCTGATTTAGCTTTCCTAATCAGAGATGTGCATTTGTTTCTAATTATTCTAAAGATAAGCCAGTGAGATTTCTCCCTTGTCTGTCTAGCAAGTTTCCAGGCTTTATTTCTTGCCTTAAAGAGCGACGATATTTCATTAGAGGACCAGGGGCTTGATGCAAGATCATGTAAAAAGGCCTGCTCATTAAAATATCTAAAATGTCTCTTGATCACTATTCCAGAACCAGACTTTTTAATTCAAGTGCTCCTGATGCACATGATGGGGCAATGATCACTAACCTAGATCAAAGACTCCTGATGCTGTAATTCTATCACTCCTATTAGTTAAAATTAGATCAATCAAAGTTGACTTGGAGTAATCCTTTAAGTTTGGCCTGGTTGGATCAGTGATCAGTTGTGAGAGATTAAGATCATCACACAATTCTTTCAGGTGGACAGATGCACTGCTTTGCCAGTTTAAGTTAAATCACCCATGATGATAGCTTCTGAGTTACAGTATTTAGATAACAGCGCTGCAATACTATCAATGGCATATGAAGGAGAAGAAGGAGGTCTATATACCCCTACTACATTGAGGTGTTTTCTCAGTGTTTTTTCAGTTATTTTCAGAACTAAAAGTTCAAAGCAGTTTTTTACAGTGATGACATTAAGAACTGTAGTAGTAAAACATGACTTGACATACACTGCTACACCACCACCTCTTGAATCTCTGTCACATCTATACAAACTATAGTTATTTAAGGCCACTTCAGACTCACTTGTATGCTTTCATAGCCAAGATTCTGTAAGCACCACGATATCTGGGTCAGTCTGTAAAATCAGAATCTTATGTTGGTCTAGTCGTTTTTGCTGCAGGAGGCTTCTTTAAACGAATTAAGCCTAGACCACTTCTGTTTTTAAACATGTCAGGGTCCTGGTTGAGATTCTGAGACCTGTGGAGCTGAATGTGATCTGAGAGGTGGTGGTGAAGGCTTTATATAGATTAGATTATCTACGTTAACTGTAGGAGCATTTCTGAAACATCTACCACTATTCTTCCTTTGGGTGCTAATCACAGGAATGCTAAGACAGTCCAGTAGTCAGTTCGTATTAAAAACAGAGTAAAAAATACTGTCCCCTAAAACTTTTGAACCCAAGCTGCTTGGATGGATTCCATCTTTCCAGTAAAAGGATGGATGCATCCAGAAGAGGTTAAAATTGTCTATAAAAGTAACGCTGGTGGAGAGACAAGTCTTTTGCAACCAGCTGTGGAGGTTTAAAATGCAGGTGGGATTGGGCCAGAGATAAAAACAGTTTTGCCACAGTTTTTTAAAAAAGCAAACAAACGTGTAAAGTCATATTTTAGCAGCTCTGTGCCCTGATCTCTTATGTCATTACAGCCAACATGAATAACTACTGTCTGAATAAAATGATACTTATTAAGGAGTCTAGGGAGCTGCTGTGTGATGTCAGAGACCTTGGCACCTGAGAGGGAGTGGGTGACTGCTGAATGGTGTTTGATATTTCTCATGATGGAGTCACCTACAACCAAGGTGGATGGAGGGCGAGTTGCTCTGTTAGAGTGGTCGTGTGGAGTGGAAGGGCGAGTGTAGTGAATTCCAGCGCATGTGAGCGGTGGGGTGGCTGTGTGGGGGCCTCCAGAGAGGGTGAAAGGCGAGGCTGCTGATCCACAATATCCAGTGAGGAGACACAGCGAGGGAGCTGTGTCTCACTGTTCAGTAAAAGGAGGCTGCGTTCCTTCCAGCAGGGTGGAGGGGGCAGCGCTCCCTTGATCCGGCAGTAGCCTGCGGAGGTGACGAGGCCGCACAGTGCTCGCTGAAATCCGGCGAGGAAGCCTGATGTATCTGTGTGGAGAGGAGAAGAAGGAGAATCATCTTCCAGCTCTTCCAGAATCGTGAACACCTACCACCGCGCAGACCACCACAGACCACAGACCACGGTTCTGACATGGGGTGGAGCTGCTCATTCTTCAGCCAAGGCCAAGGATCTTCAACCTGGGCTGGAGCACCCAAGACGCTGGCGTCAATAACCGAGGGAGTAGTGTTAGCCTGGGCTGACGCCAACATGGAGTCCAGCAGTTCCTCTTCATCTTTAATTTGATAAAGCACTGAGATCCTGCGTTCCAGTTCAGTAATCCTTTGGGTCAGACGAGCACAGCCGGCACAACTAGGTAAGGAGATTAACGGAGGCGTAGTAGTAAAAGGTTCCAGGTGTTTAAAAGCAAGGATTAAAAACAGGTCGGCTAGACGAAAAACAAAACTCCTGCTCTCGGACGTGCTCACTGTCACTCGCTCTCACAGATATCCTCCAAATGGATGTAATTTAAGCATCAGTTAGCAGGAACTAAACCTGTGCTGTGGTGTGTGGCATGTCTGGCCTGCTAAATAATCTATTCTTAGCTAAGCCAGAATGCCCCAAAAACCACAGGACAGCTTCGATTTCAGTTTTGTGTCACTCCAACATAAATCGCTCAACTTCTGCACTTTCAGATATTAGTTTTTATCAACTAAATTTGTTTCAACAGAGCACCAGTTAGTCAGAATCAAACCTGTGCTGTGGTGTGTGACACTGTTTGGATCTGTAACCTGCTCGCTAGGCAAACATTAAATTAGATTTGAACACCATGTAACAAGTATTATTTTGCCTTTCTGTCCCTTCAATGCCTGTTGCTTGAGTTCACTCCATCAGATCTGAATCATCATCTAAACTCATTTCAGTGCTTTAGTTAGCCAGAATCAAACATGTTCTGTGGTGAGCAGAACTGTGCCGAGCAGCTCCTCTCTCATAGTTAGCAGCACTGTTTAACATTTAGCAATTTTAGTTAGATGGCTTAATACTTATTAAACGATGGCTTGAAAATTGTGCACTGTATTCACTGATTTGGTGACCATGTACGCAAAACAAAACTTTGAAATTTTAAATAACACAGGACGAGCAGGAAAAGGGTGCTCGTGAGCCCCCCTCTGAACAACAGAAATGGGAAATGGGACACCCTACAGCCTACAGCCTCAAGGGCACACACAAACGAGGACTGCGGTAAGTTATGTTTTACACACTACATTTTACACACTACAAAAGTGAATTGCAATGGACTGTTAGTTATATGTAATTCCACAGATGGGAAGCAAAGCTTTCTGGGATTATTAGAGATGGGAACAAGTCACTAAGTTGCAAGTAACAAGTAAGCCTCAAGTCTTCACACTCAAATCCCGAGTCAAATCCCAAGTCAAGACAGTCAAGTCTCAATTCAAGGCCCGAGTCAGTAAACGAGAGTCTCAAGTCAAGTCCCGAGTCAATAGTCCTAATCTTCGAGTCCTATACAAGTCAGTATGCATTCTTTAGCTAATTTGAGGCCATAACACTGAATAAAGATAAAAGTAATACAGCCTTTTAATGACAGCACATCAGTAGTGTATGGCTGTATATAACTTTTTTTTACCCTTCCAACTAAAATACAAAATCCATGGTACACAGATAACCATGACAGGCATACTGTATACACAAAGAGTAGTGCACTACATATGAAAGGAACTTTAAAAGTACTACTGAACTTAAATTGTAATTATAAAAATATTATATTCAAAGATTATATTCAAATTTTTGGAAACATTGGGCACACAGGATTAAAATAAAAACTAGCTTAGCACTAAAACTAGTTTAGCCAACCAAAAACAACTGCTGTTTTGAATTGAATTTATACAACAGAACCAACCGAACTGAACAAAGTTTACAGAAAACACAGCAAAATGATGGTGAATTTACAAGGCTGAAGTTGACTTTTCTTCACCAGCTTCTTATTTGAATTTTCTGTTCTACCTTAAATGGTGCAGCAGTTGCATTCCGGCGCCTAACTGCTGCACCATTTAAGGTGGAACAGCAAATTCCAGCATGAAGCCGGCGAAGAAAAGTCAACTTAAGCCTCGTAGTGAATGTTACGCTTGTTTTATGTGCAGAAGCTGTTAAAATTGGTCAAATACAGAGAGCTGTGTTTCTTTTGTTTTGCTGCCATGAGGAAAATGGTCAGTTCGCATAGTAAATGTCTGCAGTAAGACTGGAAGTTTAAGAGCTGAGCGAGGGCACATTGATGCTGTTGACGCTTCGCTTGTTTCCAACTTATGGAGACAAACTTGAGCTCTAACGTTTCTCTTGTCTTCAGACATAAAATAAGCACATTACCAGACATCTGACGACGTTGCTGTTTATTTAGCTTACGACTGGAAACAAATTAATTCACATGGAAAATAATGGAGAGTCCCGACTGCAGTTGACTCTCTCCACATTTCTTCCACTATGGGTCTCGAGTCTTTCCGAGTCGTGAGGCTGAAGAGGAGGAAGAGACATCCCTTATGTTACACATTTTGTCAAAAATAGACAAAATAAGAAATTTAAATGGATGGGGAAAAAAGGAACACCAATGTTTGTAAATGCTGAGAAATGTTGTAAATGCATGGATAAACTGAGGCACATCATGAAGGGAGCATTTACCGTTGTAAAATCTGATCATGAAGTTATGTAGTTACTAAAGCACTGTTTTAGACCAGTTACATGCTGTCAGGTGTTATGTTTGTCATATCGGTGACAAAACACTGCTTATCAAACATAAATATTTCTACAATGTTGGGCCAAAAAAAATTATCACTCACTGAGGTGCCTGAAATCAGCTTTTCCCTCAACAAAAATGTCCATTATACCAAGAGCAGCAAGGGGGCCTTCCAGATCCACCTCTGCCTCTGCTGTGAATCTACTCATAGTCAGAGAGCGAGATGACACAGACAGAGTGAGGGATGAATAAAAATTGAGAAAGAAGCAGAGAAAAAGAAAAGAGAGAATCAACAATTGGAAAATATGTTTTGGTTTTTAAATGAGCTTGTTACAACCTTTTAGTATTTTACCTTTCCTAGCACTCCCAATAGCAGTAAGATCTCATCACCTTGCTGAAAACTTCACCAATACATATCCATATGGTTGAAAGTCTGTAGGTGGAGCTATATTTAAGGACGTGCTTACTTTGGAAGCAGCAGGCGGATCTTTCCCTGATGCATCAGCTTGGTCCAACCCTGCACTGTTGCCGTGGAGAGGTGAGACAGAATGGCTGTCAGTGGTGTGGCCTCCTCTGAAGGCAATGCAATAAACATGCTCATGCTGTTGCCGTGATAAGGTAACTCTATGACCTTATATTTCACACCATCAGTAGTATTTGCCACACCTGAATAAAAGAGAGGAAAGAAAAGAACCCTATGGTTAAAAATGTGCAACAGTGTGTGAGATATGTACACTCAAATATACTTCATACAGTGAGTGTCCAACATACTAGGATTAATGAAGATGTGACTGATGATTTGTGCACATCCTGCCTATTAGGTATGGTTATGACTATGTTTTTTGCGCTGTTAAGCAAAGTGTTTATGCATATGCAGAATGTTTTAAATTTGTCTTAGTAAACTACAAACAGTTCATAAAAAACTCCCTGTAAATTTAAACAGTCTCACCAATGTTAAAGACAGAAAGTTGGGACATCATGTGCACTTTGTAGGTTTTTCCATCTCCACCAGTGAAGCTCCTCATCTTGGTGCTCTGGACTTGGAAACGTGACTTCCATAGCCCTTTAAAGTAGATGGAGTTTACCACCACCAGTCGCGTCAGAGCCGGATCCAACATGTCTGCCTGCACAAGACTCTGGATGTGACCTGGTGGGGATATGTGTATAGAGAAAACTGATCACAACAAAGGAGCTCACAATGTTTGAAAAAACTCTATATTTTTACATTTATAAAATCACTCTGTATGTTAATAGTTATCCAGTTTTCAGTTCTCCATGCCCATTTGTAATGCTTATGCAGCTTGTAGACCAAGCTGTTCATGTACATGGGGTTTCCATTTCACTCACTGAGCATTTCCCTGAGCAGCTAACAAAACCTTGGGCAGTAAAAGTCACGCCCTAAGGTGCCTGAAGTTTACACTGATTCTTTTTTTTTAATCCACAGCACAGGCTAACCTGCACACTTCCAATTCCTCCCATTATATCAAAATGTGACTGAGCACAACTGTTAAACAAAACAATCAATTCAAATTAGCCTACCCACAAAATCCAGTTCTGATGACAAATAAAATATAATACATAATATATATAATATGACAAATAAAAACAGCTCAATAAGAGTAGCCTTTGTTATTGTTTTTAAATGTATTTTTATTCTATTTCATTGACTTCATGAAAATCCTGGAATTTGATCTTCTGTGGACAAAAGTTTTAAGATATATTTTTAAGTTTTTTTAAGACTTCTTGCTCCCAAATTTTTTTTTCATTTTTATTTATTTATTTTACAATAGCCATACAATTTTAAAATGTTCATTACATTATAAAAATATGTAAAATATAAGAAAACAATTTATTAAAAATATATTTTGATGTCTTATCTTATTTTAACAGTTTCCAGGATTAATCATTAATAGTTAGCACTTAATGATGATCGTTGTGTTTACTTGTGTTAGGTTTGTTTAACCAGATCACTGTAAGCAAGAAATTTGATATAGACCTTCCCAAATTTTTGCTGAATGCCCCTGCTCTAGGCTCTAGTATCTAATCAAGACAAAAACAGGATTCCACTCTCCCCATGAAGTTGTTAAGTCCAAAAATCAGCCTTCTCCTAAACCCCAAACAATGGAAAGCGACTCTTGGAGCCATGGAGCGGTCATAGTGGCATGAAACCAGGGATCTACATCACAAATAGCCACTTTCACTATAGCATGCATTTCACGCTTCAACAGTATTTTCTAGAAACATGTAAAAACTCACTTTATGTGTTTTTTTCTAGATATGACACTAAAACTGCTGGAAATGTTTAGCTTATTTAGAAAATAATCAAGCCAGTTTCCCGATCACATATAGGAAAAATTCAGAGACTGGAGGCGTGATGTATAAAGAGCCAAGATATTCTTGTTAAAGTGAGACCAGCCCATTAATAATAAGGTTATATGCAGTGCCATAGTGATCCATACCCTTTGTTCTGTTCCTGATCCAATCATTGATAACATCTGCAGCCTGCTGAGGGTTACTGTAGTCAAGGGTGTAGTTATGAGCCAGAAAATTGTCCCTGTTGGTAGCCAGGAAATCATCATGCATGTTAAAACCCTCCCGGGTGAAGAGTGCATTGGCGATGGTTACAAGGTCAGCATTGGACTTGGATGTCAGGGTCTTATGTAGCTTTTGCAGCATCTTATAGGGACCTGAGAGACAACATAGCATTTAGTCCAGCTTATTGTCACCAATTTTGGCCACATTACTTCCACATGATTATGGGAACATTCAAGTATGTGTTCACCCAGAACAGAGTTGAACAGTTTAATTCAGGAAGTAAAAACAACATTCATTATTCACCATAGGGAATTAGAGTTTAGCTATAAACTTTTAATTGCCCAAATTTTCAAACAAGACTAGGCAAGCTTGATTTTGCTGGACAGTCATCACCATTTGTAATTTATCATGCAAGTGTGTATGAGACAAGATAAAAAATTAATGTACTGGGTGGAAAATTTACATTATAAACCACCTGCCTGCAGTGTCTGGTGGAAGAACCTAAATTCACTTCAGGGGAGGTGGTACAAGACAGCATGAAACAGTTACAAAGATGGGATTTTACTTTGCAGACTGCTTATAGCAAAGTCACCTAGATAGATTGAATGCAGACCTGGGTTCCAGCCTCTTTATCTAGGGAGAGCTATATCATATGGGAGGGTCTGTTGTATCGTCAACCAGAAGGTAGCTGTGCCTCTGATACCTAAAGCACAGAGAGAGCAAGTTTTGTCCATGGGTCACAGCATTTCCTAGCCAGGTCATCTGTGACGTATCAACACTTTAGAGACAACTGTCAGCACGTTTAATTGGCCTGAGTTTTTGAAGAACTTATTTAAGTTCTTAGGGCTAAGTTCTCCAGTGATATGCAGGAATATTGCAGATCATGTAGATGTTTCCTTCACTTGGCTAGGCTTGAATATTATTGGACCTTTGGAGAGGACACAATGAAGTCAAAAATATATCATATCAGTTTTTCTTTAGAGTAGGAATCCCTTAGAGGATTATCACTGAACAGAGTACAGCATTCCTGTCAAACTAAGCAAGCGTATGGTCCCAATGATCTGATTGAGCGATATTTTTGTGTTAGTAGTAGCCAACGGAAAAGACTGGGATCGCTTGTTGTCATACTTGCTCTTCATGTACCAGTAGGTGAAAGGATCTCTTGATACATACTGTTTAAGACTTAGGAGAGGCTAAAGTATCCTGCTGTGCTGGTCCCTAAAACAAATGGTAACATTCAATTTGTATCGACTTTCAGCAGGTAAATGCCCCATCGCACTTGATGCATATGCCATGCCCAGATGGATGAACCTCACTGAACATTTGAGGAAAGCCAATTACATCAGCACCCTTGATTTATGTAAGGGCAGATTCCTCTTTCTAAGTAGGCTCCACTGATTGACCTGACCCAGAAGTCAGGGACAAACCAGGGTAAAGAACCAGGGTAATGTGGGGTAAAGAACAAGAAAAGGCTTTCAATTATTTAAAAGAGGTGCTGTGCCAGGATGCTTTTGAATTTGTGGTTCAAACTGTCAAAACAAATGCCTCTGGTGTTGGCCCTGGGGCAGTTATACTTCAAGGTGAAGGAAATGATTAGAGACCCATGGCTTACTTACACTGCAAACTTTTCCCCACAGAAACCAGGGATGCTACAAGTGCCTGATTATCAAATGGGCTTTGGATGCCCTCAGATATTATCTGTGATCTTGTTCTGTAATCTGATCACTGGGCAATACAATGGCTTATGTCACATGCATTGGCATAAGGGATTAACATATGAAAATAGCTTTGTAGTCCTACCGACTCAAGGTACGGTATTGAGTGGGGAAGCAGAGCACTGCAGCAGATTTAAGACTTATCTTACCAATCTGGTGGAGAGCATTCAGGTTGGGAGGGCAATGTGGAAAGGGACAATTTTATCTTTTCACCAGCTCATGCCTCCCAGTGAGCCTAGACTAGTGTGTTTACTTAAATGGATGTGCATTTTCACTTATTTGCCCACTCTCATGAATGTACTCATAAGTACATCAATGCACTCACTCCTACTCGTGCTGGGCTCTCCTGGACAAAGTTTGCTGTTTTAAAACTTTAAACTTTCAATATTGTTAGTCACCCCCAATAGCCACCAGTCCTGTCATTTGTGCATAATGCCATGATCAGACTACACAGTCTTTGATGATGGTCACTATGTCAGACAAGGCAATCATATTGCCATAAATTCTAGAACTTGAGGTAACAAATGTGTTAACATGTCAAGAACATTACATAAAATGTACCTAGCTACCCAGGTCACTATATGTAAACAGAAGGTCAGGTTGAGGAAAAAAATATTTGGGTTTTGGGAATTGTAAACTCTGAAAAGTAAAGACACAAAGATGTGTTTTAATATCAGGTGGTTTCTCAACAAACCTTCCCTCTGTTTTGTTGTTCCATCTGACAACTGCAACAGCAGCATCCCTCTTTCTCCTCATCATGTTTACATACAGAGAACACACATCAAGGAACATGTCATAAGAGTTATCAAACTAGGCAGGAAAAAAACAAAAATTATGACTAGACTTTTCTTCTGAGTGTTGTGCGGCACCACAAACACCACATCACTGTACAAGGCCTGTTCCTTGTTCACAACACTCATATTTAAGGCAGACGCTGGAGATTTGTCTTCTATGACAAAACTGTGGCAAAATCAGGCTGATTTCGTGTAGTCTGGTCCTGGCATAAAGCAGTCTCTTTAAAAGCAGAAAAAGTGCTTTATGCCAGGACCAGACTACACAAAATCAGCCTGATTTTGCCACAATTTTGTCATAGAAGACAAATCTCCAGTGTCTGCCTTAAATATGAGTGTTGCTTTTCAGTTTGGACCTCTGCTAACATTCCTGCATGAGTGGCAAGTATTGTAATGTCCCATAACAGAAGACTGCCAAGTACTGAATTATTCTTCAATATCTCCATGCATAGATATGCTCTTTCTTTAAAAAATTGTGGCATAACTGGTTAGGTCTTTAACAGCAGCAGATGGTTTGTGATCAGCACTTCAAGAACCCTGGGGTCATCTGATGTTGCTGTACTTTTCACAGTAATATCTATGGGTCACCATACAGTACTTGCTGTTTTAGTACAGAACTAAGAACTTTCCTCATTGCACAAATTTGGCAGACCCAAACACTTCCATGGTGGCATTAAAAATACACTAAGTTCCCTTTTTTAGCATATCTTCTTTTAACTCAGTCCGATTCAATCCCTGTACTGCTTTTCATGCAGGTACCATTTGGCTTCTTATTATCAGAGCATATAATTGACAACTGCCTTCTTTTACCCATGAAACAGTGCAGAGCATTGATGCATGCATTTGTGTTGAGGAATGTGCAACCTCTATGTGAATCAGCCAAGCATGTCTTCTTATGATCTTTATAGGTTTGAAGTAATCTACTCCTGTTTTGATGAATGGTGGTTTGTCTGGCAGCAGGGGCATTTCTAGACTACTTGTACTGGGGCACCCACAGAATTAAGAGCATGCCAATCAGTAGTTGGGGACCAACTGTGCTTCTGGTAAAAAGCCTGTTAAACACTAGACTAAGTGATTTAACACTAAAGTGGGTATTACTCTGCCATGAATGAGAAATGAACAACAAATTAACACTAAAGACATTTTTGTTTATTACATTCATTTTTCTGATATTCCTTACCCTTCTTTTTCATGTAGTATTCTCTCTTTTTCTATACTGATGCTCCTTTCCTCCCTGTTGTATTCTCTCTTGCTCCTCCCTATTTTGTTACTCTTCTCCCTCCTTCATGCTCTGCCTTCTCTCTCAACTACATGAGAAAAGGTCCATTTATTGTCTTAATTGATTACATTTCATTTTAGTATTATTGTCACGCACATGGATGTGAAATAAATCCTTTGTGGCATAAAACTACATGTGAAATTGTAATTGTGTCTTTGTATTATCAGTTCATGCTAGCTAGATAATACAGTCTTGCAAAATGAGTAGTTTGCTGTTATACTGGTTATTTCATGATGTGCCATTTTGCAAGCTTGTGTTATTAACCTCTTATGCTCCAGGGTATATTTTGGTTTGTCCGTCTGAATTTACATGACCAAATCTTAAGGCAAATTATTCACTAACTGCCTGAAATAAAGGCACATTTTTATTTTATTCATTTTTTTTTTGGTAAAAGCTCCCCTCAAATTAACATGTGTTTTATGATCATACACATATTGCTGTACGCTTACAATTTACTGCTGAAAGCCAAAAATCTTAGACGCTTTTTGTATAATTTTATAAATAATACAACCATCTGACACCATCTGTTCATAGTTAATAGCCCAGATTTGTGGAAAAATGGGTTGATTTTCAGTAGAGTTCAGCTTCTTCTATTATAAGGGTTTAAAATTACATTACCCATGTATTTGACTGGAAAGAAGACAGTTACAGCTCTCATATGACACCTACCTTTTGAATGTAGCTTATGAAATATGAAAGTTGTGAAGAATATGACGAAGTGCGTTTTGGAACCACTGGTGGTTCCAAGGAGCTTCAGAGGCTACTGCTCCTTTTACTTAAATAAAGCCTTTGATAAAATAACTCATGCCTTTCCTGATTTAATTAATGCCTTTTCTTTAGTGGCCTGATATGTATTTTTGGTAGGTTATACAGTTATAAGTGGCTATCCAAAACATACAGCTTTGAGCTATCACCTTGTCTGCTGCATGCCTGATTTTCTTTTTTTTACTTATGTCTACCCCATGCAAAAACGAAAGAAACTGGCTCTGACTGAAAGAGTTAGATGCTCAAGCTTTTGGAAAGATGCTGGGGCATTATTTTTACCATTGTAATTTTAGTGGGGCACAGCAACATTTTACTGAAGCATGGGTCTAGTGACACCCCAGTCTGGCAGTACCTGATCCATATGCAGGTCTGCCACCTTTTGTTCACCAGCTTCAGTGTGCAGCCTACAAATGACACATCAGGGAAATCTCTCCTTACCACAGAGTTTGTTCTGAGGTGATTTCTTGGTGTATATGTTGAAGAATAATAATGGCGATTTGAAGAGCTTAGATTGCGGAATTCTTCAGGCATTGATCTGCTCTGTCATTCTCATACTCTCAGTGCTCCTTCATCAAATCTCATGCCAGGTCTGCTGGATATTCTGCAGAGCTCACATACTTCCATTGTGAAAGTTTAGAGGCTCCTCTAATGAGAGAGATTATGCTGGTTACAAACATTTTGAATAATGTGGTGTCATTCTCTATTCCAACAGTCACACTGTCTGTCCAAATGATAAACTTTTCGAGATGAATTCATCATTCTTGTTTAATCATCCAGTCAACCTTGACTGCAACAGTTGCTGCTGTCAGTTCCATTACTGGGATGTTAACTTGCTTGAGCAGCGCCACTCTGTATATCCTTGGGAACATCTGAAATATGGCATAGCAGACTTGATGTGTCTGAATCCTGCAGGCTTGTGAACAAGTTCACACTAAGAGTTTCTGCAAGTCAGCCAATCACTTCAACCATCTCAGCTCTTTGGCTACAATTTCTTCATCCCATCCTACTTTTTCTCTACAAATGCCCCTTGGAATGAGCTTTACTGGCAACCAAAATGGAGAATATGGATATTTTTCCTGTGATTTAATCTTGAAGTTGAATATGTCCGTCCCTACACACCATTCATTTTCTGAAGCTCATTCCACAGGGGATAAAATCACAGTCAAAATCCAAGTCTTTAACCTCGGTGGCTTATTATGCTTCAGGGATGGAAGAGAGCAATATTCTACTGCTACTCATCCACTTTGTTAAATGGAACACATCGCTTTCATAAGAGAGCTCTAACATCCCTAGCCACTGATGTTAGACAGTTGTCCACAAAGAAATTTGTAAAGTGTCCGAGCTGCCTCCTCAGTGGTCTTAGTCAGTCAATCTCCAGCTGTTCTTCTAAGGGCGAAACATGCACAGCTCGGAGAGGACATTGCATCAAACAAGGGTACACTCATTGTGTACTCCTCAGCATCTCGATTAAGTCTGCCTTCAGCCCAACAAAGGAAATGTAGGAAGTCTCTATCCTTCCTCTGGACTCTGACTTGACAAAACATATCACCTTGGCCATCAGCGCAATTGGCTCTTCTCTCTAGATCAGACCTCCAATAAGTGTATTGGTATTCTAGGTCAGCTATTTATTCTGGCCCCTTCATCTTTTGGTCCATTCATCACCCAAAACAGCACAATGCATAGGATCTGTTATTTCTTTCATTAATCATTTTTCAAGGCTTAATGACTTTGTAGGCATTCGCTTCAGACCATTTGCAGATATCCTCCTGTTTGGGTGTGTTGCTTTTGTTCACTGGTGGGTTTTGCAAGTCAACACATTGGGAAAATCAATGTATATTGTCTTCTCGATGTGACATACCTGAAGATCAGACAAAAACATAGCCTTATATCTCTTATATCTATTCTTGTCTGACCCATGGATGTTCAGTTCATGCATGACGTATTTTGTGCAACAGCTACTTGTGCTGCCTGTATCCATGAAGGCACACATTTCCACATTTTGTGTTTTTTTTTCCTCTTCACTGTGACTTCACAGATATCATTGCAATTATGCACTTGCTGTCAGTTTTTTACCCAAGTGAGAGAAGAGCACTGGAGGCTGAAGCATTGTCTTCATTATTCTTCTTCCCAACAGTACTACCTGCTTTGACAATATGAAGAATAGCCAGATGTTTAAAGGAGCAGTCAGGGCATGTCATTCTTTTCTTGTAGTCTTTATACAGATGGCCCTGTATTTAAAATCCAAGGCAAAGCCCTTTACTCCTCTTTTAAGACTTCCTTTATTTTGACATCTCCAGCCAGAGAGATGTTTGAGATTCCCTTGAGGCTTCCTTTTTTATAAACCTCGTTAAGAGACTTTCCTCATAGCTCACATCACGAATAACACCAAACAGAAGATCACTTAACAACTTGGGAATACTAGTCTTTTAAGTTAACTAGATCTTCAAACCTGATTCCTCTTCCTTCATGTCTTTGAATATCAAATACTCTGTTTCTCCATCACTCTCAGTTTCAGTTTAAATGGGATTTTTGAAATGATCATTCCCATATTTGTTAGGTTGTCTACTTGTAAAGATCACCCAAAGATCTGTAGGTGAGAGGATTTCAGAAACCACTTGTATATTTCTTTGAGGTAGTTAGAACAAGCTTTGGTGAATCTCGTTCTGATGTTGCATTATCCTGTATAGATTTCTTCCAACATCATCTATTGAGGGTCACCTGAGTCGGGAGTTCGTCCAGCTGAACATCCTAAAGGAACTTTGCCACATGTAAAGACTTTGTGGGAGATGGATGAATTTATTCACCTATTTGAGAAGTCATTTATGACATCTTGAGCAACTATATGCTCATCTAATACCTTCAGCCTGGCAAGTGAAGCTGTAATTGCTGCTCCCAGCTCCAACTGTTCTTTTTTGTCTTTTAATCTGAATTCTTCAGCTTCTATTTCCTGCTTTTTCTTTAAGGCAGCTGCACAGGCTAACAACGCTGCATACTCTGCCTCTTCTATCACAAGCACTGACCTAGTTATGGATTGAGTTACAGAGCCAGTTCCCTTATTTCAACTTCCAGTAAATGCCATAGCTTCTGAAATGCTTTAAATGACCTGATCTAGTCATCGCCATCATCATCATGGTCTTTGTTACAGTCTTTATGCACCCTTGAGATCCACTTTCCAGTCTTCAGTGTGATCTGCTCCAATCATTCATTTTTGGGTTTATACCAATTCAACTGATCTTCTTCTTTTATGTCATCTGATAAAAGAGAAATACTGCACTATCAAGCTTTATAAACTCACTTACTCACAGCTGGCAAAATTGCGGAAAATTGTCCTGTGGTCCGACAAATCAAATATGAAATTCTTTTTACTGAAGCATGGGTCTAGTGACACCCCAGTCATGGACGCTGCAACCTCTGGGCTAAAGAGGTGAGAGACCATCCGGCTTGTTCTAAGCACACAGTTCAAAAGCGAGCATCTGTGATGGTGCATCTGTCATGTGAACTGGTGCACATGGCATGGATGAGTTGAACATCTGTAAAGACACTATTAATGCTGAATGATATATACATGTTTTGGAGCACCATTTGCTGCCATCCAGACTTGTCTTTTTCAGGGAAGGCCATGCTTATTTCAGCTAGACAATGCCACAACCTGAACATAATCACAGCTAGACAATGCCAAACCACAACCTGAATGTAATCACAACAGCATGGCTCCATAGTAAAAGAAAACTACAGCAATTGGTTTCTTCAGTTCCCAAAAGCTTATAGAGTGTTGTTAAAAGAAGAGGTAATGCAACATAGCGGTAAACATGCCCCTGTCTCAACTTGAAACATGCTGCTGGCATCAAATTCAAAATGGGCATGTATTTCTTAAAAAAAAAAATACAATTTATCTGTTTGAACATTTGATATGTTGTCTTTGTACTATTTTCAAATAAATATAGTGTTATAATTTAAATTATTTGCACATCATTGCATTCTGTTTTTATTTACATTTTGCACAGTGTCCCAACCTTTTTGGAAATAGGGTTGTACAATCTCCATGGAAACTCTTTGCCAATAGAATGGGATGCTCTAAAGCAGCTGCACAAGAGCCTAGGGTCACCATGCCCAGTGTCAAGCAATGGCAAGAGGGGTAAAGATTGAACCTTTCGATGAGCTGGAGTGATGTTTGTAATCCAGAACTATTTATCCAACTTTAGGATCTGACCCTCTTGTGGATAAATGCAATCAAATCCTCACACCAATGTAATGTAAAGCCTTCTCAGAAGAGGAGAAACTGTTACTGAAGCAAAGAGCCGAATGCGAGAGCCCACCAGTGAGGACATGTGTCTGTTGGGGTCAGCGCAGCGAGGTTTGGGACCGAAGCTAGCGCGGAAAGGCCCGACAGTGAGGCCAGCACACGGTGGCGAGGCTGATGTGGTCCAACGGGAGACCAGAGGTGTCGTGGCATAACGGCGGCGTGGTGAGTCATGGCCAAGAGTCAAAGCTCCAGTGTACATAATCAGCAGCCTCGCTGGCATCTACAGAGTGTGGGCGGCAGAGAAAGCAAAGAGCAGTCGAGAGAGCACCGCTGGTGTTGCCACTGATGAGTGATGCTGTGAGCTGTGAGGAGATTGAGGGGTGGAGGATGCAGGGCTTAGCACTCAGAATGTGCCCCCGAGGAGGACTGGTGCATCCTTGAGCACATTACCTGTGCTACATGTGTTCACTGGGACAGTGGACTTCATGGTGACTGTGACGGGTGGGGCAGCACCTACATGCACCTACAGACTTTCTGCTCAAGCTTTGTGGAGTCGCTGGGACAACTGCTCCAATGTAGCCTCCCACTACTGGCGTGGTCAGCTGTGGACGCATAGGAAGCATGGCCATGCTGAGCAGCAAGTGGAGAGGACCACTGGTACTGCCGTGCAACAGTGAGAGAGACCTAAAACATGTAAGTTGTTGTTGTTGTGGCTTCAACACTGTATATATATGCTTGTCGGACTATTCTGTATTGGATTATGGGGTAGATTGTGCAGTGTTAGTGATTACCATCCCTTTGGAGTGTGAGGTTACTGATGACCTGCCAGTTATCCTGGCTGTTCAGTAGTGCTGCCAGCAGGTTTCACCCTACTGCATGTAAATAAATAAATACTTGTTCAAAGTACTATATTTCCCATGTTTTCCTGTTGTATGGCAACACCACAATAATGTCTAAATAACTTGGGATACCCTTCCTTAAAGTAAAAAAAAAGTTCTCATCTCACCTTTCTTTTTATATTTGAGTCCTGAGAGGAGCTGGCGCTTGGTGTTGCCATCGGCTCCCAGCAGAAGCATGCCTAGGATGGTGGCCACACCATGGGGGGAGAGAACCACATTTTCCTGTGGCTTTTCCTGTACTACTTGCAGGAACACTTGCAAACCCAAATTAGAGCCTCTCTCACCATATGTCAACGGTACAGACTCTGACATAGCTCCACACAACATACACACTGCAAGCAACACAGACACGCAAAACCCACACATGCAAGACATGGTGAGGGAATGGTCTCTCAGGAATCCTGACCTGGGGAAAGGAAATAGAGAAAGATTATTTTTCTTTATAAATAGGTCGATCATGTGCACTATTGTTAGTTTATTTTAATTAAAACTCTTAAATTGAACTGAACTGAAAGTAAATAAATCAAGTGCCAGTAGGTGGTGAAATAAATGAAAAGACTGTTATGTTTACCATTTTCTAAATAGTAGTTCAGTTCCCAAACCAAAATATTCCCTTTCACAATTAAAACCGCATGACTCAAAGTGACTCATATGACAACTTAATGGGACAGCTATTTGACAAGACGTTGTTAGCAATTTTTTTTCTGTTCGGATGAACTTTAACCATAGCACATGACACAAAGTCAAAGCCCTCGCAGAAACTGCAGCACCCTTCTGCCTTTCTCAAAGACATTTTTTTGTCTGTTCTTTCTCATGTAGACAAATACACTTTCTGAGGTCAAAGCATAATATTTCAACTAAAACTAATAAAAAGCTCTGACAAACTCTCTAGGTCTCTTGCTCTCTCTCAGCTAGTACACTTCAGCTGTCATTCAGGATGTGTATCTACTTGTTTTCTCTCTCTTCCATGTTTACTCTCTCTCTCTTCATTATTATTCTAGGAAGCATCTTTCCCCACTAACATCTTTTCAGACTTTGGTTTACAACCATGCAACCACCCCAAGGCAATTTATATGTTTATAGTGCTACTTCAAAGTTTGTGAACCCTTTGTGATTTTGTGAATTTTGCACATACATGTGACCTAAAATGTAACGCAAAATATATGTATACACATAAATACATCAGTTAGCCTTCACATTAAAACCACCTTCTTGTTTCTACACACATTGTAATTTTATCAGCTCCATTTACCATATAGGTGCACTTTGTAGTTCTACAATTACAGCCTATCTGTTTCTCTGCATACTTTGTAAGCCCCCTATCACCCTGTTCTTCAATGGTCAGGACCCCCACAGGACCACCAGAGAGCAGTTACTATTTGGGTGGTGGATCATTCTCAGCACTGCAGTGACACTGATGTGGTGGTGGTGTGTAAGTATGTGTTGCTGTGGTAAGAGTGAAGCAGACACAGCAGTGCTGATGGGGTTTTTAAACACTGTGTCCACTCACTGTCCACTCTATTAGACACCTTGTAGATGTAAAGTCAGATCAGTAGCTCATCTGTTGCAGTGCAGTTTGTGTTAGTCATCCTCTAGTCCTCCACTCATTTTTGGTTGGTGCACTATTGCTGTGTCTGATCCAGTCATACCAGTGTAACATACTAACACACCACAATCACGTCAATGTCACTGCAGTGCTGAGAATGATCCACCACCCAAGTAATACCTACAGTCAATGCACTACAGTCTGTAATTGTGGAACTACAAAGTGCACCTATATGGTAAGTGGAGCTGGTAAAATGGCCAGTGAGAGTACAAACAACTTCTGTTGTTCCTTGGATATTACCCTATCCCACACAGTCTTTGGCTATTGAATTTCCTGTCACACTGCCTTGCAGCCCTGGAATTTATTAAGCTGAACAAGCACTTGCGCGCACACGTATGTCTGTGAACACTTCTTATCTCTGCACAGACAGCCAGGTCATATATTGATAACCGACATCGTATATATCGTATATTCACACATTACAATATATATATATATATATATATATATATATATATATATATATATATATATATATATATTGTAATGTGTGAAGGAGCTCAAACGAGAAAATGAGACGCAGGGTTCAGCAGAAGACTGCGCAGGCTACATGTAGCTACTGAAACTCGGTTCTTCTTTCCACTGTTTTATTACTACAGCTGTATCAAACAAGTAAGCGTCAGGATTTCCAAAACACAAACCACCGATCGCGTGTCAATGTCTGCCAAAGAACCTTAACAAAAGTGGCCTACGACAGTCTTTTCATCCACTTAAGGTAAAATAACAGAGCAGCCATTTCGATTCAATAACGTACTGTTTAAAATAGCTACACTTACAGTTTACAAATTTTTACAGTTTGCTGAAACCAGCCAGTAAAACTCACAGAGCTATATCACAGACATAAAAAGAGACATTTCGAAAACCCAAAGTTTTCTCACCTGCTTCTGAAAAAACCTAGATAGATAGTAAAACTTGTTTCTTCCCAAAGAGTCCTTTTCCACCGCGTTAGTTTCGAGCCGCTACTCCTCCCTAGTTTATATTTTCGGGATCTAAGGCATCGGACTCCTCCTTCCAACTGAAAGCTAGCCAGTCTTCTTTGATACACAGTTCAACTAGCCGCATGTGCATTTTGTCTGCGCGGCTATTACACAGTTAACGGTATGAGTAACAGGGTGTTCAAAACCTAAACAAAGCAGACCCACGCTCCTATTACAGCAACCTTAAAATAGATACGAAGTTCATAAAACGTTCTTTTAAAAGTATCTTAAACTTGTATATAATTTAATTAGAAGGATTTTGCTTGTTAGTTACTTTAAACAACTGAGTTTACGGTTGATCCCATTATTACTGAGTAACCTGATATGTCATGTCACAAGTTACGTCAAGTTTATTATTTAGCGCTTTTTACGAGAGGCGTTGTCACAAAGCAAATTTACTAAAAATCCAAATCCAGTACCCAACGAGCAAGCTAATGGCGACAGAGGCAAGGATTTTTTTCTTTTTTTCAGTTTTCAAACTGAAAAAATAGAAGGCACATAGAAGGCAGGGAATCACATAGCAATTTTAAATCGATGAGGAACAGTCTAAAGTTTGGTGTACTGGAGGTAATTCTGGCTTTATGCAAATAGAATTTTCCCTGTAGGGTTATAAGCCTTATGGCATGATCAGAAAAGACCTCTCTGTATTAACACACCATTGTTTCATTAATACAGATTAACTTGTTAAAAATGTTAAAAATCAACAATGACACCTCATTCCAAAAGTCTGCTGAATAAACAAAATTTTTAAAAAGTCCATTGTTTCCAGTTCAGAGGTACAGAAAGTGCATTGTGGTGTTATGTAAAAATGAAATTTCTGAAGATATGCATAGGTATATTTTGTGAAGTATCTTGAGATGGGTTTCTTTTACTGTACTGTGTACAAAGTACCTGTACAGTAAAAGAAAAACACAACAAGAGCAATATGAATAGAGAATAGGATTTTACAATTAATGTGCAAAACTCAATCATATGATCACCAATGACTGCTGTTAGAGGCCTATCAAAGTAACACTGAGAAACAGATCTATAAAAAATCTGTCACAGTTACCAGCGAAAACCAGTGACTTCTGTTATCACGGTGAAAATGGGAGTTAAATCTATGAACATCAATGACCACTGTTAGAAACCTATAATGATGATGTGTTAACACGAATATGAGATGAATATGAGAAGACTGTCTATGATTAAATAGTTTGAGTCTATGCAGGCACCAGTATCACCAGGAGAGTAAGTGGCATGCAGGCTTTTTGAGGTGAGGCTTTTTTTGCACAACATGTGACACCAGGATGCTCTATGGTGGTCTATTACTTTGAAACACTAGAATAATTACAGTTGTGGTAGGTGAATAGAAAGGAGCAAAATCTTTTGGCTTCCTGTACTACTTATTGGAAAGCACAGTATCACAATGTGTTAACTTACAATTCAGTTATGTTGACGCATGTGAGGACTTTGGCTGTGTACTTCAAAATGCTACAGTAAAATCACTTAATTTATGTGGTAAGCTGTGAACAGTTTATTCTTTCTTCTTCTTCTTTTTTAAACTACTTAAAGGGGAATTCTACTAGTTTTTAAAAAATTCTGTATAATGCAGTGGTTGAGAAAAACAAAGTCATTCAGGTTGGTTTGATCTGAAATAGTACATTTGCCGAGAAACTTACAGACACAGATTTACTCACATTAACCCTCACCCTAACCCTAACAGGATGCCTACACTGCAAATATAGCCATTTTGTTTACTATCCAAAACCTCCAGTAAACCTAAATGAGTTTTTATGTACTGCTGATGATAATAAAATAATCATTTGACTTCTTTTATTTATTTATTTATTGTTTTTTTAAATTATTTTATTTTTCTACAATTAGTGTTCATTTTCACGATTAGTGTTTACTGTTTATTTAGTGTCTATTTAAACACATTTCCTGTTTACCATTTACCATTTACCATTTACGTATTTAATGTTATTGTTACACCATGGGGTCTGAGAGTAACACAATTTCAATTCTCTGTATGTCCTGTACATATTGTAGTATTGACAATAAAGCTAACTTAAAGACTAAAAGACTTAATAATGGCCAATCTGTAAAGTTGCGTTTTCTTTTAGGACTATTTTTGCCTAAGAACATATATCTTCATATATCCCTCCACCATGAATGGATCAACATAAACTGATTAAAATTTGTTTTAGACCAACATTTTATCACAAAAGTATTGTTATACAATGTCTCTGATATCATGCAATGTATCCATAATAATTTCATGTAATAACTTTCTGGGAGGGAGCATTAAGTTCCTCAGATGCCTGGTTCCTATCATCACCACTGTGTGAACAATTCTAACTCTGTAAGTTTCTCTAGAGCAAAGCATTTCACACCAAACCACTCTGAATTATTTTGTTTACGTTAAACATTTAATTCTGCAAATACGTGGTGATTTAAAAAGATTTATCTGATTTCAAAGCACTATATTTGTACAACCGTGAGGCGCCTAGGAACCAATCACATGGCAATTGTAAGAGGAGGTCATAGAATTTCTGACTGTCACTTGAAGATGGCTTCCTTCAGTCTGCGAGGAGATGGTTATCCCTGAGCAGAAAGTGTTTTGCATTCTCCAGCATGTGTGCAGCATTTCATCGGCAGTGAAACTCCAACAGCTCAGAGCATTCATTGTTGGTTCTACAACACTGGATGATCTCCAAAATCGCATTGAAAGAGCCGTGAGTACAGTGACACCCAACATGCTCAATCGAGTATGAGATGCATTTGACTATGGCGTTGATGTTGTCCGTACAGCTGGAGGAGGTCATATTGAGCACTTGTAAAATTACATAATAAACTTTATGCTCACTTAAACCATTTACAAGTTACTGCATTGTTCTGTAATGATTTACAAGTGAAATAAATCATTTTGAAATCGGACGAATCTTTTTGAATCAACCTGTATTTTGAAAAATCTGCGGACTTCCCCTTTAAGTTAAATAACCATTAGTAGTGTCTTGAACATGTTATTTTGATAGGGGTGTTGAACTTTTTCTTAGGTTTGAATGTCTATACTCTTACCGCTATGTGCGTAATAGCCACACTCTTAAGTTGTAGTTTAACAACTTGTAGGTTGTGGCTGGCTTAACCTGCTGTGGTCAAGACATGGTACAGTTCACAGGGTGGTATGAATCTGTAGGAAAAATTGATGTTCTGTAAACAGGAAATTACACCCAGCCTGAATGACGAAATTCTAATTGTTCACAGACTCATGCCCTGAACATAGTATTTTAGACACACCAAAATAGACTGGAACCACCCTGTACTAGAACTCAACAGTGGTGGTTGTCTGGGTGCAGCTGTAGACGGAGAGTAGTGCATATTACCATCTGTAATTTTAGATCAAGGAAGTAGTTACCTCGCCACTCCATTAGCTGAGGGTAATACAGCCCTTTTCTATATTAAATTGTAGATGTAAGCACCAGTCTTAAATGCTGATAAAACATGCATTCAGCGTTTGTGTTTTGTTTACTTGTAAAGTGCTAAGAAGTCTCTGGACTGGAGGCATGATTCATATGAGGAACCAGGCTATTTTTCAGAGTAAATAACAGATTATGACTTTATGTAGCTGAACTTTCTGCCTGCTAGACAAAAACAAATGTTAGTATTCTGTAGCTTTTTTTTCTCACACACATATATATTGCTCCTCAAAAACGTGAAGTCTAAGAAGGATGTATCAGGAGCATAACTAAAGAAGAGGAGCAAGTATGTCAGTGTCTGAGTGAGCAAAGAAAAGCAAGCAAGGTTATGTCAGCATGTTTTATAAAGTCATTTTCCCTCAGTATGAATGACACTACTTTGATACTATTGGTACTTTTGGTACTTTCTTTGGTACTGTTTTGTCTTATAACACTATGTTCATGGCCTTTAAAAATAAAAATATGTTAACAATAATAATAACAATAGCAATTTGGAGTGCGAACTGTCGATTTAAGGTCTTGCTACAAGCCTTAATTTGATTCTTTTGAGCCATTCAGATGTGGACTTGCTTGTGTGCTTCAAATCATTGTGCTACTGCATAATCCAATGGCGCCTGAGCTTTAGGCCACAAACTGATGGGCAGACATTCACTTTGAGAATTTTCTGATAGAGAGCAGAAATCATGGTTCCATCATTTATGACAATTCATCCAGGTCCCTCAGAAGCAAAGCGGACCCAGACCATCACACTACTACTGTCATGTTTGACTGTTGGTATGATGTGGTTATGGTGGAATGTGGTTTTAGCTTTACACCAGATATAACAGGACCTATGTCTACCAAAATTTTCCACCTTTGACTCATCCGTCCACAGAATATTTTCTCAAACATTTTGGGGGTCATCTAGATGTTTTTTGGCAAATGCGAGATGAGTCTTTGTGTTCTTTATGGTCAGCAGTGGTTTGCTCCTTGCAACTCTCCCATGGATGCCATTTTTGCCCAGTTTTTTCTTATTGTGGAATCATGTACATTGACCTTATCTGAGGCAAGTGAGGCCTGCAGTTCTTTAGATGTTTGTGTGGGTTCTTTCGTGACCTTTTGGATGAATCATTAATGCGCTCTTGGGTCATTACTGTTCCAAGTTTCTGGCCTTCTTCACATTGCCAGACAGGTTCCATTTAAATGATTTTTGATTTAACAGGTCTGACAGTAATCATGACTGGGTGTGGTAGTGAAATTGAACCCAGAGGTCAACTGAATTTGGTTAACTGGTTGATTTAGTAGCTAAGGGGGGCAATTACTTCTTCACATAGGGCCAGTTAGAGCTTAATGGCATTCTTCTTTCAACAAATGAAGTCATAATTTAAAAACAGCTTTTTCTGTTTACTTGGATTATTTTTGTCTAATATTAAGTACTTTGATGATCTGAAACATTTAAGTGTGACATATGCACAAATAGAAGAAATTGGGAAGGGGGCTGTGCTATAGGTTAAGTGTACTGTGGTTTGGTCATAGATAAGATTATGCTTTGACAGGGTCAGTGTTGTGGAAAAGCAAATGAAAAAGGTTGTGAGAGTTAGATCCCAGCACGGTA